CATCATGGTGGTGTCTCGCTGTTCTTGTTCTCCTGGCTCTCACCGCCATAACAGCAGCGGAACAGAGTGAACAGGATGAACAGCAGAGTCACGAACAACAACAGCCGAAGGAGGAGGATGTAAGCGTGGAAGAAGAAGAAGGAGGAGGAGAAGAAGAAGGGAGAGGAGATAGGGAAGAGGAAGAGGTGGGGATCAGAAGCGACCCGGCAGAGGGAGAAATGGCGTCGTCTTGCCCCTCCTCCTGCTTCTGCGAGACTGAGGTGCGTCTTGGGGGCGGGGCCTTTATAGCTGGCTCTGGGTGGGTGGGATGACGGTAATGAGAATGATAGTAATAGGAATGATAATTATGATAATGATAATAATAATGATAATAATAATAATAATAATAATAATAATAATAATAATAATAATAATAATAATAATGATAATAATAATAATAACAATAATAAAATAATGATAATAATAATAATAGTAATAATAATAATAATAATAATAATAATAATAATAATAATAATAATAATAATAATAATAATAATAATAATAATAATAATAATAATAATGATAATAATAATAATAATAATAATAATAAAAATAATAATAATAATAATAATAATAACAGCATTAATGATAGCAATAATAATAATAACAGTAATGATAGCAATAATAATAATAATAATAATAACAGTAATGATAGCAATAATAATAATAATAATAATAACAGTAATGATAGCAATGATAATAATAGCAATAATAATGATGATGATATAAATAATTATAGTACTAATGATGATGATAATAATAATAAGAAGAAGAATTATAATGATAATAATAATAATAATAATAATAATAATAATAATAATAATAATCATAACAATAATAATGATAATAATGATAGTGATAGTAATGATAACATTATTATTACCTAACCATTAACCCCTCCCCCCCCTCGCGCCCGTAGGCCGGCTACGCGACGTGCGTGGGCGACAGCCAGTGGGCGCCGCCCGCGCTGCCGCCCGGCCTCACGCGCGTGGAGCTGCGCAACTTCCTGGTGCCGGAGCTGGGCGCCGCGCAGCTGCGGCCGCTGCCCGACCTGCGGGAGCTGCAGCTGAACCAGTGCAACCTGTCGCGCCTGCTGGACGACGCCTTCGGCCGCCTGCCGCAGCTGGAGCGCCTCGACCTGTCCGAGAACCAGCTGACGCGCCTCGGGCCCGACGTGTTCACGGGCCTGGCGGCGCTGCACCACCTGGACCTGTCGGCGAACCGCCTGGCCAACCTGACGCGGCCGTTCACGCACCTGGCGTGGCTGCAGCACCTCAACCTCAAGGACAACAACCTGACGACGCTGACGCACGACACGTTCCAGGGGCTGGACCGCGTGCAGTACGTCAACCTGGACGGCAACCTGATCGCGTCGGTGGACGTGGCGGCGTTCCAGCACCTGACGGGGCTGGCGCACCTCATCCTGTCCAACAACCCGCTGTCGTCGCTCGCCACGCTCGACTTCTTCGGCTCGCGCCTGCAGTACATCGACGTGTCCAACATCGGCATCGCGCGCGTGCCGCAGGCGCTGACGCAGTTCGTGCGCGACCTGCGGCTGGCCAAGAACGCCATCAGGGAGATCCACCGCGGCGACCTCGACTCCTACCCGTACCTGGGCCTGCTCGTGCTCGACGACAACGGCCTGCAGCTGCTGGAGGAGGACGCCCTGGGCCGCCACGAGTACCTGGCGCGCCTGTGGCTCAACGGCAACAGCCTGCAGGCCGTGCCGCTGTCGCTGCCGCCGGCGCTGCGCGCGCTCTACATCGAGGAGAACATGATCGCGGGCCTTCGCGAGGGCGACTTCCGCGGCCTGGCCAGCCTCGAGCAGCTGTTCCTGCGGCGCAACCACATCGCCAGCGTCGCCGACTGCGCCCTCTGCGATCTGGTGAGCCTCAAGACGCTGGACCTGCAGGCCAACCGCCTGACGACGCTCGCCGGCAGGGTGTTCTCGCGCCTGGCCAGCCTCGAGACGCTCGACCTGTCGCAGAACCCGCTGCTGGCGCTCGACGCCGCCGTGTTCGCCGGCCTGACGTCCGTGCGCGTCCTGCAGATGTCCCGCGTCCACTCGGACAACGTGACGGTGCCCGAGACGGCCTTCGACCCCCTCAAGGGCCTCCAGATCCTCGAGATGTACGGCTCGCCGCACCTCGTCGCCCTCATCCTCAACTCCACCAGGATGCTGCACTCGCTCAGGGGCGTCCGCGAGCTCAACCTCATGCACAACGACCTCAAGGCGCTCAGGAACGACTTCCCCGCGTTCTTCCCCAAGCTGCAGGTACGGCGGGAAGGGCGGGGAGGGGCACAGGAAGGGGGGGGGGGGGCACAAGAAAGAGGGGGGTGACGGGAGGGGCACAGGAAAGGGGGGGCATGGGGGAGGGGCACAGGAAAGGGTGGGGTGAAGGGAGGGGCATGGAGGGGGGGCACAGGAGGCAGGGAGGCAAAGAGGGGGGCATGAGGAGGGGGAGGAGTTGGGGGCAAGGGAGAAGAGGCGCAGGAGAGGGGGAGAGGGGAAGTCTGGGGACTCGGTTAGGGCTGGCAAAGAGGGGGAGGCGAGAAGAGGGGGGATGGGGGGGGCGGGAGGCAAGGGGGAGGGGTGGGGGTCAAAGATCAGGATAGGGAGGGGCAAAGACAGGGGAGGGAGGGAGGGAGGGGAGGGGGGGAGAGTCCTGGGTGGGAGGGAGGGGGAGTGAGTGATGGAAATAAGGGCGGGAGGGGGGAGGCCATGGGGAGGGGAGGGGGGTATGGGTAGATGGAGTGGATGAATAGATATAGATAGAGAGATGGATAGATAGGTATATAAACAAACAGACGAATAAGTGAATAGGTAAATGGATAAATTGATGGACAGACAAAAAAGAATAGAGAGAAATGACAAATAGACAAGAGATAGATGAAATGAGGAAGAGAATATTAAAGAATAAGAAAAAAATCATACAAATGTACATCGAAATAAATAGATAGTGAAACGATAGATAGTAAAAAAAATGAACAGACAGATAGACTGACTAATCCGCGTGTTTAAGATTTCCAGGGTGTCCAATAGTCGATTACATTCATCATCGTCATCATAGTCTCAATCATCAGGATCATCATCATTCTCGTTATCATTATGAAGTTACCATCGTTGTGACAGATTTATGATCATCATGTTCATCAAAGTCATAATCATCATCATTATCATCATCGTCATCCTCATCCTCATTATCAATCACTATCGTCATCACATTCATAATCATCATATTCATCAAAGGCATAGTCATTAATCATCATCATTATCATCATTGTCACCATTATCACCATCACAGTCGTAATCGACACCGTCATCATTATCGTCACCATGATAATTATTATCGTCATCACAGTCATATTCATCATATTCCTCAAAATCATAATCATCATCATCGTCGTCATCCTTATCAGTTATCCTTCGTCATCGCCATTGTCATCACACTCGCTGCCATGACTGTCATCACCACAATCACAATTGTCATCATAATTATCAGCACTACTACCATAATATTCATCAGCACTAATATCATAATATTCATCACCATTATCATCATAATCTTAGTCGTCGTCATCACAATCACAACAACAAAGTCATCAGCGCCATCACCAGAGTGCAGGAATTTCGCAAACAAAATAGATTTAAACTCCTCTTTTATTTAAATAGAATTCAAGTATTCCAAAATGGATGGTTGGGACGCAATTCACAAATACGAACACCTATTTCATACACTTTTTCCTCTATGGACAGAGTGTTTCTTTGTAAACCTTGAACTATGAACTATGAACTATGAACTATTTATGAACGGGTGGCTCCCTCTCTGACCGATGGCGTTTCAGCAAAATAATGTATATTAGCACAATGGTTCTTGGATCAAAGGCTCTGTATCTGAATTAAAATTGGAATGAATAACGAAAACATATATTTTATACTGTATACTTTATCGTTCCTCGATAAGTTACTATCTGTCTGAAACAAAGTATATTTGAACAATTGTTAGTTAAGTAATGTTTTTTTTTATACTTAATCAGTACCTGTTTATATGATCAAAGTGACTGTTTTTTTTCTTTTTGTTTGTTTGTTTGTTTGTTTGTTTTTAATAATTTGTCTTTATTTGAACAGTGGTTCATTATTTTGCATATTATCATACAAGAACAGCGGCTTTTTATTCAACAATATATTTTTTCTTCACACGTTCTTGCCTGTTGTGATAAATATTTTTTATCTGTTTAACACTGGCCGTTTTGTTCACGTTCATGCCCACTACAGTATTTTTTTTATTCAACACTTACCATTTTTTAAACATCCTTGCTAATTACAGTGCCATTTTTTTCATTCAGCACTAACTAATTGCACACAAATTTGCCTGTTGTAGTATCTTTTCACTTGCAATATTGGCATTTTATGTATTGCATTGTTTTTTCGTTTTTTTCTTTTTTAATGACTCAACACAGTTTCTTTTCTCTTTTTTTGCAAACACTCTTGCCTACTACAATATCCTATTTCATCCAGTACCCCAAATCCATCCACTGCAATACCTTATCCAAATGATTTACCACTAACTGTCTTACACACTTACCTTGCCCATTGCAGGTTGCAAAGTTCAGCGGCAACACTTGGGACTGCACCAGCCCGAGCAAGATTCTGTGGATGAAGAGGTGGATGGTCGCTCGCTCGCCGGTCACTTTCTATCGCTCGTACAGCATCAGGTGAGAGATACTGGCGTCAGAGAGATAGATGAATAGATAGAGAGAGAGGGGACGGAGGAAGGGAGGGAGGGAAGGAGGGGAGGAGGGAGGGAGGAAGGAAGGAAGGAAGGAAGGAGGGAGGGAGGGAGGGAAGGAGGGGGGAGGGAGGGAGAGAGAAAAAAAGAGAGTGAGAGGAAGAGGGAGAGAGAGAGGGGGAGGGAGGAAGAGAGAGAAAAAGAGAGTAAGAGAAAGAGGGAGAGAGAGAGAGGGGGGAAGGAGGGAGGGAGAGAGAGAGAGAGAGAGAGAGAGAGAGAGAGAGAGAGAGAGAGAGAGAGAGAGAGAGAGAGAGAGGGAGGGAGGGAGGGAGGGAGGGAGAGAGGGAGAGAGGGAGAGAGAGAGAGAGTGAGTGAGAGAGAGAGAGAGAGAGAGAGAGAGAGAGAGAGAGAGAGAGAGAGAGAGAGAGAGAGAGAGGGAGGGAGGGAGGGAGGGAGGGAGGGAGGGAGGGAGGGAGGGAGAGAGGGAGAGAGGGAGAGAGAGAGAGAGAGAGAGAGAGAGAGAGAGAGAGAGAGAGAGAGAGAGAGAATGAGAGAAAGAGAAGAGAGAGAGAGAGAGAGAGAGAGAGAGAGAGAGAGAGAGAGAGAGAGAGAGAGAGAGAGAGAAAATGAGAGAAAGAGAGAGAGAGAGAGAGAGAGAGAGAGAGAGAGAGAGAGAGAGAGAGATCAAATATAGATCAGTTTCTAACGTTCATAAACCATCCGATTATGCCACGGTATCCGTCGATCGTTGATAGACAGATAGATAAATCATGGATGGATTTTCACTTTTCATTAATCACCAGGTTAAACTGGTTGAAATGTTTTTAGTGAGAGGCCTTTTTCCTCTTCTTTTTCTGTTTTTTCTTCGTCTTTTTTCTTCTTCTCCTTCTTTTTTTTCCTCTTCTTCTTTTTCATTATCTTCTTTTCCTTCTTCTTGCTATCCTCTTCCTTCTTCGTTTCATTCGTCTTCTCATTCTCCTCTCTCTTCTTCTTCTTCTCCATCTTCTTCATTATCTTCCTCTCCTCCATCTTCGCCCCATTTTCTTCCATTGTAGGGGATACTCTTTAAATGGGTATTCAAATAGTACCATAGATATGAAGATCATGAACTTACTATCAACGTCATATCGCTTTTTCTTTTGTATTCTTGACACTGTATTAAAATCATTCCGATGCCAAAAAATCGTGAGAAATTATTGTGATGTTTTTTTTTTAAATTTTTGTTCACTTTTATGCTGAAATTAAAAGAGCTGGTTATTGCTTTGCGTTTATGCTAACAAAAATGCGATTTTTTATTTTGATATTTCATATCTTGGGAATGACTTACATATCATGGTGATTACGTTGATATTGAGGTCATAGTGTTTTTTTATTTCTTCTTTCTTTCTCTCTCTCTTTTATTTTCTCTCTTTCTCAAATAATGTCTTATTAAAAGATACTCATCATTCATGGTGAAAATGTCCGGTAATGTTGATTGTTTTTTTATGTTGAACAAAGTACTCATTTCATATTAGCTGATACATTTTCAAGCTCATTTTCGAGGGTCGGGAGACCAGCCTCGCGCGTCGACGTCGCAAGCTCACCTTCTCCGCTTCCCCGCAGGTGCTCGTCGCCGGCGTACTTGGGCTACAAACCCGTCATTCTGTTGGAGAGCTCCGACTTCCTCAACGCCAGTACGTCTGTCAGTCCTCCTTCTACAACTACAGCCACAACCACTACTACAACAACAACAATTACAACCACAACTGCAGCCAGCACTACTCTTGCCACAGCCGCTCCTGTCATCGTCCTGAGTTCCGGGGAGGAGCCCGCGGGCGCCCACGACGTCACGAGCGCGGACGCCGTCGCGAGGACGTCGGCGCGAGCCACGACGCCGATGCCGGACCTCGCCGTCCTCACGCGCAGGGACAGCAACTCGCCCATCATCGGCGTCGCCCCGTTCATGGCGCGCCCCAAGCCCGCCCCCAAGAGGGTCCCGGCGACGACTGGAGCCCCCGAGACTGCCACCGGGGCCCCGGCGACGACTGCTGCCCCGGCGCCCTCCACTATAGCCCCCGAGACGACCACCGGCGCTCGTGAGGCTACGACGGGAGCCCCAGAAACCTCCTCGGCGGCAGCCCCTGGCGCCACCGAAGGCCCTGCCCCCCCCTTCGTCCGCAGCACGACCGAGGCGCCCCCTGCGGCCCCCACCTCGCCCGCGGCCGCCGCCACCGAGCGGGCGAGCGAGGCGCCCGTGGCTAGCACGCCCACCGCGCCCTCTCTCGCGCCGGCGGGCGGCCCCGGCTCCTCGCCCAGCCCGAGGGACGGCGCCACGCGGGCGTCGCCCGAGAGCGCCACGAAGGCCTCGTCGCCGCCCTACTGGGTCATCCACAACCGCCGGCCGCCGCAGGAGCCGGCGCGGCCGCCGCCCCGCCCGAGGGACGGCGCCACGCCGCGCAAGAAGTGGCGGCGGCCGCTCAAGGACGCCCGCCCCAGGACGCCGGACGCTAAGACGCGGGCGGCCGACGCGCCGGGGGGCGTGGGCGGCGGCACCGGGGCGCCTCCGCGCCACCGAGCCGCCCACAAGAAGGAGCTGTGGATCTTCCGCGGCGACGGCACGCACGGCCTGGGCGGGCCGCCGCTGCCCGTGGGCGTGAGCGACGGCCGCGTCAGCGACGGCGCCGTGGTGGGCGCGGGCGTGGTGGCGTCGTGCGTGGGCCTGGCGCTGCTGGTGGGCGGCCTCCTGCTGGCGCGCGGGCGCGGCAAGGCGGCCAGCCCGCTGTGGGCGGCGTCGTCGTCCTACTGGCGCCAGGGCGGCGACGACGACGTGGTGATGGCGGTGGGCATGGGCGGCGCGGGCGGCGGCCTCGTCACCGAGTCGGAGGGCACCGTGGGCGTGCTCACCGAGACGCACCGCGGCCTCAACAACCGCCTGTACCTCCTCCTGCAGCGGGACTCGGCGACGGGCATCACGCCCGAGTCGCTGCCCGACCCGCGCGCGCTCCCCCCCGCGCCCCCGCACTGACCCCCCCTCCCCCCGCCCCCCCCGCTGAGCCCATGCCCCTCCCCCCCCCGCCTGCCGCTGACCCGCGCTTCGACGCCCTCTGCGCCTGGCACCCGTGGCACCCCCCCCCCCCCCCGCGCGCTGTTCCGACCCTGCAGAATCCTCGCTTTTCTCTTCCTCTTCCTCTCTCCTTTTTCTCCTTCTTCTCCTCCTCCATCTTAATCTGACTTTACTCCCTATTTCCTCTATTTCCTTCCTCTATCTCTCTTCTTTCCTTCTTTATCACAAATTTCCATTTCCCCCTCTTTCCCTTATTCTATCTTTATCATCCTTATCTTCCTCTTCCTCTCCTTCCCTTCGCCGGTTGTCCAAGAGACCAATCTTTTACAAGAAGAAATTAACAAAAAAATAAAAAATAAAATAAAATAAAAAATATATAAATAAATAACAAGACAAAAAACAGACACAAGACAACATTGATAACAAATAAAATGACGAAACAAAGAAACGAGACAAAGAGACGATAAAACACCGAAACGCAGAACAGGAAGAGGAGGAAACGAAGGAGAAAATAGAAACACCGAATAAATAGGAGAAATAGGGAAAGGAAAAATAACGAAGAGAAAGACAACCAAAAAATTTACGAAAATGGAAAGAAGGGAAAGTGATAATAGGCAGCAAAGACAAACAAGTAAACAAGGACATAAGTAAATACTCTCTGTGTCTTTGTTTATTTGTTTAATTGACAAAAAAGCGACGAATCAATGACAAATACACAGACAAACAAACAAGAAATATTCTACAAAGACATAAGACAATTAGGTTAAAAAAAAATAATAAAAAACAAAAAACACATTCCTCAAGAACAAGAACAAGAAACATTAAAAAATAAAATAAAATAAACCATTTTTTTCTGTAAAATTACGAAAATACAGGTACGTTTTTTTGTGTGTTAACCTAATGCTGTTTAAAAAAATAAGGAAAAAAAAAAAAAAAAAAGTTTGAAAATAACAGTTGCGCCTTTTTTCCCAACTAGTCATTAGCATAAGAGACACTAGAAGAAGTTAGGAAGTTGTTAGGAAAACTTTCTTTTATATCTAATCATGAAATAATATTAATAATAATACAGATAATAATTATAATATCTGGCAACTCTGCATTAACCCTGCGTCGAGTTGCCAGTTTGTGATTTTCGCCGGAATTGCAAGCGGTGAAAATAACTCATGTGAGAGAGAGAGAAGTTAACTCAACGGTGAAGTTAACTGTGTGTTAATAATTGCAAGGGAGAAATTGACGTGAGATGTTAACGTGCCTCGTTGCAGATCGTGGGCATAAAATAAAGCCTCTTGTTGCATATTGCAATCCTTAATTTACATGTATATGTGTGTGTTTGTCGCGCATTTATCTTCATATAAGTAAAGTAGAAGATAGAAAGAAATTAAAGTAAATTGTAGAAGAAAAAAGTATTAAAGACAGACGAGATAATAAGACAATCACTGTTAACTTTCAAGACAGTGATTTACGTTATTTTCACAGTTGACAAAAAACAGAGACATTGCACTGTTTTAACCGTGAAAAAAAATAAACAAAGAGAAAGACAAAAAACAAGACTAAGTATATACAGAAAAAATATATATACATCTAGAAAAAATAGACATCCTTTTCCATCCCCTAATGTGACTAAGGATCCTTTAAAAAAAAACACACACACACACTTACAAAGGCCGGAAGAAAATTAAGCCAAAGACCAATCCACAACCCCGAACACCCGAAGACGAAGCCAAGGCCAAGAAGCACCCTCACCCACGAGTTGAGACGAGGCCGCGGTTCCTGTGATGTTATAATGTACATTTATGTGTCTCAATCTGTGTATGGCGAATGTGTATATGGTGGTGGAGAGTATATCTCTTGTTTTAGATATTTTTAGTTATGGAATGTATATGAAATCTGTCCAATAAATAATGAAACTTTCGAATTTGGTTTTATTTATTTATTTATCATATTGGCTTTTTTTTATTCTTTGTGTTTTTTTATATTTATTTCTTTTAAGAAAGGAATGGTCGGAGGATTAATCGAATAAGTAACAGAAAACCGGAGAGAAAATCCAGTTACTGAGACCCTGCTAGACCCATGGGACGCACACACACACGCACACACACACATGCACACACACACACACACACACACACACACACACACACACACACACACACACACACACACACACACACACACACACACACACACACACACACACACACACACGCACGCACACACACACACACACACACACATACACACACACACACACACATACACACACACACACACACACTAGAAAATAACGATACATTTCTTTAAACATTGATAATTATGAAACTTATGAAATAAAAATAATAAAGTTTGCAACACTAGTGCAATAATAACGAAAATAATACTAATGATAATATTACAAGTAGTAATGGTAGTAATAACGATAATAATATCTGATAATGAAACTGATAATAAGAATAATGATTTTAATAATGATAATAATAACAGATAATAGTAACAGTCATGATGATGATGACGATAATAGCAATAGTTATTGATAATAACAATAGTTATGATATAATGATTATTATCATAATAATAATGAAACAATAATAGTAATAATAATAATGATAATAGTAAAAATGATAATATTAATAAACAATAATAATGATGCTAACAATAACGATAACAATACTGACCATGATAATAATAATACCAATAATAACGATAATGCTAATCAATATAACTATAACAGCGACGATAATGATAAAGAAAACGATATTGATAAGTTCCATTCGTAGAATAACCGTAACCGAAATAACCGAAAAAACGAATAACCGAATAACCGAATAACCGAATAACCGAATAACCGAATAACCGAATAACCGAATAACCGAATAACCGAATAACCGAATAACCGAATAACCGAATAACCGAATAACCGAATAACCGAATAACCGAATAACCGAATAACCGAATAACCGAATAACCGAATAACCGAATAACCGAATAACCGAATAACCGAATAACCGAATAACCGAATAACCGAATAACCGAATAACCGAATAACCGAATAACCGAATAACCGAATAACCGAATAACCGAATAACCGAATAACCGAATAACCGAATAACCGAATAACCGAATAACCGAATAACCGAATAACCGAATAACCGAATAACCGAATAACCGAATAACCGAATAACCGAATAACCGAATAACCGAATAACCGAATAACCGAATAACCGAATAACCGAATAACCGAATAACCGAATAACCGAATAACCGAATAACCGAATAACCGAATAACCGAATAACCGAATAACCGAATAACCGAATAACCGAATAACCGAATAACCGAATAACCGAATAACCGAATAACCGAATAACCGAATAACCGAATAACCGAATAACCGAATAACCGAATAACCGAATAACCGAATAACCGAATAACCGAATAACCGAATAACCGAATAACCGAATAACCGAATAACCGAATAACCGAATAACCGAATAACCGAATAACCGAATAACCGAATAACCGAATAACCGAATAACCGAATAACCGAATAACCGAATAACCGAATAACCGAATAACCGAATAACCGAATAACCGAATAACCGAATAACCGAATAACCGAATAACCGAATAACCGAATAACCGAATAACCGAATAACCGAATAACCGAATAACCGAATAACCGAATAACCGAATAACCGAATAACCGAATAACCGAATAACCGAATAACCGAATAACCGAATAACCGAATAACCGAATAACCGAATAACCGAATAACCGAATAACCGAATAACCGAATAACCGAATAACCGAATAACCGAATAACCGAATAACCGAATAACCGAATAACCGAATAACCGAATAACCGAATAACCGAATAACCGAATAACCGAATAACCGAATAACCGAATAACCGAATAACCGAATAACCGAATAACCGAATAACCGAATAACCGAATAACCGAATAACCGAATAACCGAATAACCGAATAACCGAATAACCGAATAACCGAATAACCGAATAACCGAATAACCGAATAACCGAATAACCGAATAACCGAATAACCGAATAACCGAATAACCGAATAACCGAATAACCGAATAACCGAATAACCGAATAACCGAATAACCGAATAACCGAATAACCGAATAACCGAATAACCGAATAACCGAATAACCGAATAACCGAATAACCGAATAACCGAATAACCGAATAACCGAATAACCGAATAACCGAATAACTGAAATAACCGAAAAACTGAAATAACCGAATAACTGAATAACCGAATAACCGAATAACCGAATAACCGAATAACCGAATAACCGAATAACCGAATAACCGAATAACCGAATAACCGAATAACCGAATAACCGAATAACCGAATAACCGAATAACCGAATAACCGAATAACCGAATAACCGAATAACCGAATAACCGAATAACCGAATAACCGAATAACCGAATAACCGAATAACCGAATAACCGAATAACCGAATAACCGAATAACCGAATAACCGAATAACCGAATAACCGAATAACCGAATAACCGAATAACCGAATAACCGAATAACCGAATAACCGAATAACCGAATAACCGAATAACCGAATAACCGAATAACCGAATAACCGAATAACCGAATAACCGAATAACCGAATAACCGAATAACCGAATAACCGAATAACCGAATAACCGAATAACCGAATAACCGAATAACCGAATAACCGAATAACCGAATAACCGAATAACCAAGAAGAGTTCCGTGGCCTTTCCCTTGGTCTTCTCCAGCCTGGGTCAGCCCTCTCGGAGATGACCCTATGAGCCGGATCTTCCTCAGGAAAACGAGCCACATGCCCATAGAGCTAAAGTTTGCGCTCTCCTATCAGACTGGTTATAGGTCTTAAATCAGTCTCACGGAGTATCCTCTGATTGGACACACGGTCCCTCCAGGTATACCCCATGATTCTGC